CCGAATCGAGCCGAGCTTCTCGGCTTGACGGTCGAACTTTCTGCCTCTGAGCAGAGAGAAACCCGGACGAGGCTCCGCCGAAGGGCAGAGTCTCGTTCGGGGAGGTTAACCAACCCAATCCCGTTTATACGGCTTCTACGGGCATTTTTTGGCCGAGCCTACGGGCTCGGGAAACCTACGTTAAACTCGGCATTGTGCCGTATGCAACTGCCACTGACCCCGTTCGAACTTAGATATTGTATCCGCAGCAAGCACATACGAATTATTTCTTCAACATCAGAATGAGTTTTCTCCGATATTTTTTAACATTCTAGAGCTAATGGCATTTTAGAGAGTAAGTAGATTTCTTCTACACTATCCAATAAATAAACATTTTTTCCGGATCCGTTCAGCTAATTTTTGAAATAGCAGACGACAACAATGCTTATTATTACGAACGCTAAAGGTTTTTCTAACTTCCGAATTCATTTTGAAAAATTATTTCATTACATGCACGATAAATTTCAAAAATATATATCTACAGAAATACTGCTTATATATCCTAATTTTTTAAGATTTAAATTAAAAATAAATAACGAGCCATTTATTGAATTATATTTTTCAAGAATTATTATGCAAGTAATTTAATATTACCGCTAATGTTGGAAACGCTATTTGTTGATAATATATAAAAAAGTTGATGAACATTAAGATGGCCGGCTGTTTTGTTCTACTCATGTAACGTGATGACACGCAAAAAACATTTAGCCTATTTGCATTTAGCCTATTTATATATGTGTGTGTATACACACACGCACACACACACACACACACACACACACACACACATATATATATATATATATATATATATATATATATATTTCTCAAACTGTTGTCATCATCTTTATAGTCATGATCACAGCGTTTCAGCGTTTGGGTTGTGCCATCAGAAACTATTCACGTCAGTAGAGTGCAAATCGCCAAGTTCTGGCCCGCCTTAACCAGGTACTGAACTCACAATTCTTTGGGTTCTGTCACTGGATCTAACTAACGCCTTCTTTCACCGTTCAATGTGCTTTTGTGAAGAGGTTATCGGAGAAAATACAAAGGACCTGCGGTCTATATGACATCAGGACAACTTTCAAAAGCTTGACGACACTTCGCAGATACCTCTCCCGAGTAAGACCCCCCCACAGAGTAGAACATAACTAAAGACTCTGTGTATGCCATCCCGTGCAGCTGCGGAAAGAAATATAAAGGGTAGACAGGCCACCCCCTTAAGGTAAGTTTTCAAGAACACCAAAAATCTGTAACACGAGGGGAAGTGGAAAAATTAGTCGGCTGACCACATATGGAGAAAAGGGAGATCACCGCCCTCCCTGTGGGATCAGGTTGAAATCATAGACAAAGAACATCATTGGAAAATATGTAAACTTAAGGAATCAGCACATATGCTAGGCGACAAAAATCTCCTGAAGCGACCAAGCATAGAAATGAATATAATATGGGAACCAGTAATAAGGAATATCAGAGAAAAGCAATAATAACAACAAATATTGCAATATGAACTCTGATAAAAAAAAAATGAATGATAATTAAAAAAATAAAAATATGAGCAATGGTAAAAATGGTTACTGAAGACATTAGGTTTATAATACCCAGAAATTCATACTTAGATGTCCTTAAGAACACATGGCACAGTTGATAAAGTCGTTAGTTAGATCCAGTGACAGGGCCCGAAGTGTTGTGAGAGATGAAGATGGAGAACTTGGTGGAGAACTTGAAGAGGGAATTGTTTGGAGATAACTGATAAGTTTGACATCTATTAGACATCTGTTTAAGGAACTAGAACAATGTACCCCAGCGAATGGAAATAAAGGGTTAAAGAATATTTGGTATTTTAAAATTTAAGGTTGTCTGCAGAAAAAATACTCGGAAGGACAAAGTTAAAATTATTTTCTTAAAGCGACATTTTTAAGAAAATATTCAAGATGTTAAAGAATGGGGCTAATATTTACTATTGTCCAGCGTCCGACAGTTTATAAAATGATACCTTCTTACACAAGAGTTAACCATCATTTTCATAGTCCAGGCATGATTACTGTTAATTAAATATGTCCAAAAGTCCAATCATTCGATTTTGAAAATGACATATAATTACATGAAAAGGACATTGGGGTTGATACGAGATAAAATTTGTTTATGCAAGTCAATGTTTCCACAATGTATTTGATATTGACCAAACGATGTCGATAAAACATGCAGGATATAATTCTTTACTTACTCAGGCACACGCGCGCGCTCACAAACACACACACATACACACACATATTCACACGCTCATGGGATAAGGAGTAGATACATACATACACACAAATACATTCAGATAGATAGATAAATAGATAGATAGATAGATAGATAGATAGATAGATATAAAGCAAAAACAGGATTTAGATAAAAAAATATATATATTAAAGGGATAGATAGATAGATAGATAGATAGATATGAATAAAGGAAAAGGGATAGATAGATAGATAGATAGATAGATAGATAGATAGATAGAAAGAAAGCAAACGGGGTAGATAGATATGAAGGAAAAGGGATAGATAGATATGAATAAAGGAAAAGGGATAGATAGATAGATAGATATGAAGAAAAGGGATAGATAGATATGAATAATTGAAAAAAGATAGATAGATAGAAAAAATAGATAGATAAATAGATAGATAGATGAATGGATGGAGGGGTAGATAGATATGAAGGAAAAGGGATAGATATATATATATGAATAAAGGAAAAGAGATAGATAAATAGATTGTATTTTTGATTATTAAACTTTCCATGGTTGAATGGTAAAATAAATATATATAAAAAAATCTGAAAAAAAAATTATTAGAATTTTAAACTAAATTCGCATTTAAAAGAATTTCCAAGTTATTGGAACACAAAATGATATATATATATATATATATATATATATATATATATATATATATAGTGATGGGATTAAATTTAATTTATTTATATTATTATTTTTTATATTTCATTGCACGTTGTAATTTGAGTTCATATTCATATTTGATATTATTGAGTGAAACTTTTTTTAAAATTATTTTTTAATTAGAAACAGCCATTTTGCATGTGAATGAGGATATTATAATCGTATTTTCCACGTTTGCTGTTTGACTGATTTCTGTGCTTATTTAAATGTGTCCTAATTGAGCTATAGTCAAAGAGATGTAATGTGAGTCTTCTTGATAAACATGTAGTTGTATGTCCAATATAATTATTCATAAAATTGTTTTGATCAGAAACGCAGTTCCTTAAGGCGAATGCAAATTAACAAATAATATTGGTCCTGTGTTGTTTGGATCTTGACAGTGAGTTGTTATTATAATTTTCACATTCTGGTCGCCCGGAATTATGAATTTTTTATAATGTTTCTAGGAAAGGGATAATTGTATCCTGCAGCAAATTCCCTTTCAGGTATGTCTGATTGAATAAATAACAAACGTTATTTCTGCCTATTTTTATCATAATCCAAGTTTATCCTCGAGAATTTTCCCGTTTTAAAATTACAATTAAATGCGGAAAAACAGTGAAAAATTTTTATTTCCCCAAGTCCCTTTTCCATCATCTTTTCTAAGATCATGATTTGAACAAATATGGTAAGGCAAAAAATTATATGAATTTTTATCCATTATTAGTTTTTTTTTACTTTTTACGTTTAAATCCAATAATTAAAAGTTATGCTTCACCGTTCATTGGAACGTGAAATATTATCCACTATGCAATTTGTTCTTTTACATTGGAAGGTCATAGTCAATCGAACATTACAGCGTGAAAGTTGTTCTTTTTATAGGTATTGTTGACATTATTACAGTATTTGAAGCTAATTCTATTTAGTTAAAGGCTTCCATTTTTTTTTAATGTAGATTTCTTTTTGAGGATCTGTATTTTTAATTTATTATTTTTGGTAAGGATGTTGTTGTGAATCAATCAGTATTTTCTATATTGTGAATGTGGACAGGAACGTTGGTATAAATGATTTCGAAATGGATGATTTGTCCAGTTGTGTAGAAAAAACGTTTTGATAAAGTAGTTGTTGTATATCCAATATATTTTGTTTTTTTTTTATTTAATACATGCTCCCAAAGGACATAATGAATTGATATATAATTGGATAAAATTTTTGTATATTTTACAGTTTATTAGCTCTAGCCTAACATACAACCTTAAAAAAAAAAAATTGAAAACTAACAAAGCCTTTTTTGAAATTAGTAAGAGTACAATGTAATTTGATAGAAATTTATATTTTTAACGCATTTAAAAGTTTATAAATTTAAAATAACATACAAACATGTTGATGTATATAAATTTAAATTATCATTTAAATAAATTAGCACAATTTCATCTTCAGGGAAATTTTTGCTGTGTTCATATTGAAAATTTTTTTTTCTTGTGGTGTGTATATTAAACATACATGTTTAAGTAGCATCAAGGGAGAAAATTGTTATTGAGATATATAATTTCAAAAACTACATTATTCAGACTATTGTCATCATCTTTGTCGCCATTTCCCCACAACGTTTTCGGCTTTGTTTGTAAAATTTGCCTTCAGGTGGTTGGAATGTCGAACTGAACCCTTTATTTCGCTCACATTGGGGTAGACTGTTCTAGTTTAATGCCATGTTTTAATGGATGTCAGTTATCTAAAGTTAAGTAATAAAAACAAAGAAAAAGTATTCATTTGTTACGTGATATCAAGTCATCAACTATGGCAACACACATCTGGACAATCATCTCACAGATGAAGAAGACGTAAACAACTTTTCAAAACAGAAATTTATCTATAGAATATAATGATATACCATGGATAAATATAAAGCAACGACGAAGTTTTAGAGACGATGGAATTAAAAAGGACATCAAGAAAGAGAAATTCATACGACATATAATGATAGACGGAATATTTAATTTAAAAATTGATAAATTAAGGACAAATTGAATATATATCCCTAGGTATGGCGATAAACTCACGCCTCTGATCGGGAGATTGGAAATTTTTGATGAACGAGGAAGTTTAATTTTAATTGTTGTGTTCCCAGGTCCGGAATGAATGACAGTGGTATTTAGTCACATTTTAGGTTCCGATAATGGTGAAATTTTAAACAAACAAAAAAAAAAGTGGAGAAATTTTAGAAATGGTTTCATATTTTAATTACTATTTGTTCCCAGGTCCATCCTGGAAGGTGGCAGAATATGTCAGGGTTCGAAAAATGGAAAAATATTGAAAAAAAAAAAAAAAAAAAATATTAAAAAGTTTAAAAATACATTTTCAATTTAAAAAAAAGTACCAATAGTAAATATTTAATTTAAGAAAATTAAAAAACAAAACCTTTAAGTGCGATTAAAAAAATTGTCGTTAAAAATGAAACAAATGAGAAAACAATGATATGTTTTTTAACAGATATATTTACCAAAATTAAACAAAAACTATCTTGAAATAAATATCTTGAGTAAATTTATTCAATAAAATCGCCATTGGCATCACACATTTTGAAAGTTCAAAGGGGTAAAATAGAAATAAAAATCAACAGAGTACAGATGCGATGGATGAATTGTCGTCTAAATGACGCAAAAATGAAAATAACACTGACATCTCATTTTAACGGACATATTTACCAAAATTACACAAAAAATAACCTGAAATACTAAAGAGTAAATTTATTCAATAAAACACCGTTGGCTTCCACAAAAAGAAATTTTTAGATTTTTTGGAATGATTCAAAATTTCTTTTAAAGGATTTTCTTGTTTCAGTTAAAAATGCTTTTAATCCTTGCGATTCAGTTTATCTTACAAAATTGCTACAAAATTTTTTTTAAATCTCTTATTCAATTGCAGCCCATATATAATAATCAATTTTTGCTGTTGGGGATTAAAACAAGAAAATCATGAATCTGTCTATTAAATAAATCTTTCTGTTCATTATCATCATCTATCAAATATAACTTAGTCTGTTCATAATCTATCTATCTATCTATCTATCTATCTATCTATCTATCTCTAGCTCTGTATCAATTAAAATCATTATCTATCTATCTATTTAGGAAAAAAAATGATTATTTATTTATCAAATCAAATCTATCTATCTATCTATCTATCTGTCTGTCTAATTTGTCTGAAAATCTATTTATCTATTTATCTATCTATCGAAAATGAAGACATTTTAAGACTCGATTATAATAAAAATGATTTATAAAAACATACAGGATGCGATGGATAAATTGTCGTCTAAATGATGGAAAAAATGAAAATAGCATCGACATCTCATTTTGACATATATACTGGGTGCGATGGATAAATTGTCGTCTAAATGATGCAAAAATGAAAATAACACTGACATCTCATTTTAACAGATATATTTACCAAAATTACACAAAAATATCTTGAAATACTAAAGAGTAAATTTATTCAATAAAATCTCCATTGGCTTCAACCACGGCCTCCAGATGACTTCGGAATCTCCTGCAACTCTTCTGGACGGTCTCCTTGTTTAAGTTGGTGAATGCTGCCATAATCCTTGCCTTCAGTTCATCTTTGGTGTTACAAGAAGTTTTGTTGGTCTCTCGCTCAACTGCGCCCCACACATAATAATCAAGGGGGTTGCAGTCTGGGGAGTTAGGTGGCCAGATGTAAGGGGTGATGTGGTTGCAGAAATTGTCTGACAGCCATGACTGGGTTCTCCTGCTTGTGTGGCATGGTGCAGAGTCCTGTTGCCAGACATAGGGTCTTCCAGCAGCCACCCTCTTGACCCAGGGCAGCACTACCTCCTCAAGGCACTTGATGTAGGCCTCCGTGTTGAGTCTGAGGCCCTCACCAACAGATGAATGGAGTTCTTTAACGTCGCCATCACTAGTGATCACTCCAAACACCTTGATAATCACCATTAGACTCATCCAAACTTTTCTGAATCTTCTGCACTGTCCTCAGATTGACACAGAGACACTGAAATATTAGTATTGGAACTTCCGGCGCGAATGCCAAGCAGTACAGCACGCCTATCCCAAATTTCTGGCGGAGTTAATTGCGTCATGGTGCTTTTTTTTTCACAGATGGTACTCAACTGACCCTACTATACTATGCAGTCGACAAAATAAAAAAAAAAAACAACGCGCATGCGTGAATTAAAAATATAAAATGGCGACAATTTACTCTTCACATCCTGTAGTGATCCAACAATCAATAACTAATATTTTATATTTCAATAACTTAAATATTGATTCGAAAACCATTCAGGGCGTTGGCGATCATGACTCTCCATAAATTTATTTTTTTAAAAGATATAAATAATAATTGTCGTTTTTTTTATATTTACCAGACAAATGTTAACAATTGTTGTATCCATTTTTTTAAAATCAATTGTAGGGTTCAGACTGTTTTTTAAAATACCTTCAATATATCCTATTTTATTGTCTGAATTTTCCAAGGAAGGGAACAGACAAGTTTAAATATATTTAAAGTATATATTTAAATATTTGGATAAAATATGTAGATTTCGGCAATAAGAACCTGATAACATTGATATATTTGTTAAAACAAAATCAACCAACCAAAATTGAAGGCATTCAATTTTGTTTTAAAAGCTGGATATTTAATTGAATTTCATTATATGTAAAACATATTTAAAAAACTGGCTAAAATAAAAGCTTTCGCCCACCGCAATAGGAAAGTTGAAAATTTTTAAGCCATGAAGAAATTTAAATTTCTGGAATCAATTTCCAGATCTACAAATCAAAATCAAAATTTGATGGATTTTGAAAACACATATATGGTATTATG